GGATTAGGGGTTAGGTTTCGGACCTATGGGTCAGGTTACGGTTAGAGTTAAGGCTTAGGGGCTAGGCTTAAGCTTTAGAATTAAGAACTAGGCTTTAGGGTTAGGATTAGTGTTAGGAAGTATGTTAGAGTTAGTAATTAGGATTACGGTCAGGTTTCGGGTTAGGAGTTAGGGTTATAGTCCAAATAAAAACTTGCTGCTTTGTTCTCTAGTCATGTTCCTTCCTGAAGGAAAAGAAATAACATATCATGACCGTTCACGGGTAGTCCTGCAAACCTATGACACTAGAGAAGATTTAATGGAGAATTTCCTAGAATGTCCTGATACGACCTCGCTCAGGTGTGGGTGCTCCTTCTTGGAACATGGCGTCCATAGGCCTGGTTACGCTGTGGTCCCTGCTCTGCACACACTCCCCTCCCTGCTGGCACTATCGCTCAGTCAGCTGAGCTGATCCCCCTTGTGGGAGCACTGGAGTTGGGGCGGCCGGAGAGTAACTATATACACTGACTCTAAATATGCTTTCTGAGTTCTCCAGGTCCCTGAGGCCATCTAGAAGAAAAGATATTTCTTTTTCTTTTTTAAAAATATATTTTTATTGATTTCAGAGAGGGAGAGGCAGAGATAGAAACATCGATGATGAGAGAGTATCACCAATGTTTGGGATCAAGCCTGCAACCTGGGCATGTGCCCTGACTGGGAATTGAACCCTGACCTCCTGGTTCATAAGTGCATGCTCAACCCCTGAGCCACACCAGCCAGGGGGTAAGGACACTTCTTGACCCCCATTAGATCCCCTAATAAATACCATAAGGAGATTGGTCAGCTCCTGTCCTCAGCACACCTCCCCTCAGAGGGCGCTCCCCTCACATTGCTCAGGTCACCAGAGGAGCTGATTAGGTCATGAAAGGCAATACACTAGCTGACCCGGCTGCCAAGGCAGCAGCCAGAGCAGGACTCTAGTTCCTTGGACTCCTTAGCCCGTGTGGACTTGGTTTGTCGTGTAGCCCTTGATTACCTCTTGGCAGAACCAGGAGGAGTCTGTGCAGTGATAAACAATACTTGCTGCACGTATGTCAATAATCCCGGCCACATGGAGACAAACGTAAGGAAATTTTATGAACAAGCAGAATGGTTGTATAAGTACAACCAACGGGCCCTGACACTGGGTGGTCTCTCTCCCTCTCTCTCTCTCTCTCTCTCCCTGGCTGCCTAGCATCCCTGGGCTCTTACCCTTCCAGGCCCCCTGATCTCTGAAGTGCTCTTCCTAACTTTTGGACCCTGCATTTTTAACAGCTTAGCCAAATTTGTGCATTCTCGCCTAGAATCCTTCAAACTACAAATGGTTATGGAAATGGACCCCCCCACATGGGTAACCTGATTTTCTGTGGCCCTCCAGATTGTCCTCTCCTGACAGAACCCTGCTTGTTGGCTCCTCACAACACCCCCCCCCACCGCCCCCAACTCAGGAGGAAGCAGCCAGAGTGATCATCATCCCAAATCCCTTATGGCAGTTAGGTTACTGCATTGGGGGCGGGGGGGGGGAGGGCATGAGGAGTTAGTGGGATCAGGTAGTTTAGGGTAAGGGCCTGGGGAGGGAATATGGTAAATTAGGAGGGAATGAGCCAAATGGTCAGGATGTGAGCCAGATAGACTGAATGGACCAGTCACCCCCTGACCTGAGAGTGGGAACTAAGGTAAGGGGAAGATGAAGGCAAAAGGAGATTGGCTGGTGTTATTTTTGAAAGAGCCAATAGGAGGCAAGAGCAGGAAATACAAACCCCTAGACTGGTCAGCTTCTGTGGGAACCCTATTCGGGACCCCTTAGCCTGCTGAGAGCTTTGCTAACTTTCACTGTAATAAACTTCGTTTCCCTTTGCTTACTCCTCCTTTGTCCGTGAATTCATTTGTCCACTTCTTGAGACAAAGAACCCAAACCAAACCAACAGCTCAGACTCGTGTCTCACTGTGACCTCTCTCACCAGCAGGATCAAATCCTTTGCTTTTACAACTGAATATTTGCTCAGATGGCTAGCAATGTGTGTGGGCTCTAAGAAATAAAGTTAAACCCTGTCTCTCTTGTCTCCAACCTGTGACCAGAAAAATCCAGCATGAAATTAACTTCAAAATATGCCTTAATTAGGGATTATTAATGATCAAGTTATACAGTTTAATTAAAATCATTTATTCTCAGTAAAATCAAACATATCATTGAGTTTACATAGAAATACAATTTTCAACGGGATCTTCATAAAAATGCACTGGTGAAACAAATTTTCATAATCAATGACCAATTGTGGACTGTTTAATCATGCCAGTAGCAGAATTGATTACCTGATTACCATTAAAAACTGGTAAAGTAATGTATCTTAAATGTGCAAATACCATCTTAAGTATTTTATTATGTTACCATTGATAATAAATGGCCACTAAATATATACCTATTACATAAAGCTTTTTAAAGTACAATAAAAATACAAGTTCTATCTGTTAAAAAAAGCCACTGATATGGCTTCTAAACGTCCTCATTATACAAATTCCAAAATACTATATGACAAACAAAATTATAAAGACTTTTCTTTATGAAACATACACTACCTTCTAATTAAGGTACAACCTAACAGATACCAGAAAACAACCAAGAAGGCTTACATATATCATAGAACCTTATGGAGATACATACAAATAGAATATTGCATAAGCTGTTCGATTTCTTTTCCTAGTGAAAATGTACCTTTAGCACTTGAAGAAAATTTCTGAGAGTAAAGGAGAAGGAGAATCTGTTTTGGAGGTCTCCCAGCAATGTAGCCTCATTCATTGTTCTCACATTGTGATGAACCAAATGATAAGTTTTAACCGTAAATTTTGGTTGCACTGAGTGACAATTATTATTCAAGTTAAAGATAAACTGAGCAGCAACTTGATTTTTGTGAAAAAAAATGAGATTCTAATATCAACAACAAAACACTAAATTTGCTAAATAATATTGGTGATTCATGAAGAGGAGTTTCTATAGATTGTATAGTATCAAAACTAATGAGACATCACAATATTTTGAGACAAAAATATATTTGGTAAAATAAATACGAGTAACAGACAGTGCAGCTATAGACAGCAAACATTCCAAATGCTTTTTCAGGAAACATGAGATCGAAGGATGTCTATGTTTAGTAACGTAACTTATCTCATTAGAACTTAAACTGTGTTTGCTAAAAAGGAAATTTTACAGTTTCCCACAATATTTGTTTATGAAATAAAATATTTAGAGTATAACGGATGATAATGGCTAACATTATTACCTTGCATCTACCAATACTCTACATACATTTGGTTTAATTATAATAGGCATTTATATGTTTGTTATTTCACCTACCAGAAATGACCTGGTGGCATTATATTCAAAGTTTACATTTTCTCAATGATAGGAAACAGCGCTTCATACATAAAATGACATCTGGTATCATGTTTATTAGTTTGGATGTAGTATTCAGTTTGGCATTGGTATATCCCTTTAGGACTTTCAAAGGTTTCATTAAGGTATGGCTTTTGGGAAATCAGCCTGGAGTCTGGACACAGATTTCAAGGTGCGAACGCTGCAGAACTCAAACACAAGAGAGAGATTTGGATCATTTGTCCTTTGAGTAGAAATTCTTTTACAACAGAAACAGACAGGAACACAAAAGAATACAGTGAGTTGTCTTTAAAATAAAATGTTACAGATCAATAGTGAAGGTATGAGGAAATTTTACGGAAATAATTTTCAGAAAGTGAAGATATTAAAAAATATATTGGCACATGGATAAGACCTGCCGTAAAGTAATCACAGACGTATGTGCAGACCAAACAAGTTTAACATGAACCAGGCACTCTCCTCTTGACATCAGCACTTGCTGTCCACGGGGTCCAGACAAAATACCGTGCCTTCCAGAGTCAGTCCCATTTTGAACCCCTCCTGTAAAGCAGAGAAAAAGCATTAAAGTAGGAGAGCACCCGGCAATAAATAAATAAATACATAAATAAATAATATCAGTACATCAAAGAGACTATGAACAAAAGTTGAAAAGAAATAATTCAGTCAGAATGTCGGCTTGTCAAATTTTCACGTAGGTGTACACCCCAGGCAGATCTTGATACCCATGAGCAGAACAAGCTTTCTTTATGGAGTCCCCATTAAACTAATTTCATGACTATGTCGCATCAGCCTATTGTTTTTTAATATGATTGAACTGTTTCCCGTATTTTACCATTTCTAAGATGTACTGAATTATTTTCCATAATCTTCACACTTATAATTATTTTCTCCTCAGAACAGACTGCATTAACTTGGTGAAGAATACAACATGAGCATTAGTAGCAGAGCACCCCCAAAGGCAGGCGGGGACTGACGCCGGTCCGCAGTGAGTTAGCGCTTGCTTCATCACTCGCACTAGTGTGATTATTACTAAGAAAATAATACTTATAATTTGCTAGGTGATAGTTCTTTACTTAATTTGCATGTTTTCTCTGATTAGACTGAACATGTCTACATGTATACCAGCCACTTGGTTTTCTTTTGTGAACTACTGTTATTTTTTAAAATTTCATCTGCTGATTGTTTAGTTTCTTAATCATTTGTCTATGTACTTTAATTACGTATATTTGACATAGTTATATTATTAAACAGAAATTTTAAGAGAACTATGGAAGTTCTTTTGTAAAAGACTATATGTTTATACAAAATATGCCCTTATAAAAATTTCTCTCCAAATAAAAAGTCTGATATTCATATTTCAAACATTTACATCTATCTGCTGCTTATGAAATGTACTTGAATATTTGCTGTGTCTACTGTACTGGTACATTGATCCTCCAAGTTATTAACCAGTCACCTTCACATCACTTAATGCACAATTCTTTCACCGTTCACTGACTTGCCAGGTATTAAGTTATTATAACTTACAAGGTGTACTTCTGGGCTGACCATACTATTTTATACTGATTTCCCTGCTGACGTCATGTAACAGAAGTTTAAATTATGTCAAATGAAAAACCTGAATTACTGATTTCAAATAAATATCTAATTTTCTAGCAATTTATAATGAAATATAGCTTAACATTTTTTACTAAATTGTACATGTATGAGATGTTTCTGTGACCTTTCTCTGTCAATAAAAAAGGGAGACCAAATATTTCAGTAGGCTTATTAACTCAATATGATGGTTTATGACGCCTATTATACTGTATAAATGTTTACATTCTATGCAAAGATAAAAATAGTAGCTAACTGTGCATTTGATTAATTAAGCTAACAAAATAAATAATAAAATCATCATAGACTTTAGATGAAAATGTTATTTTACTTTAATTGAAGTGACCTTGCAAGTTATTCTTGGACTCAAAGACATAGGCAAGCAATGATATGGACAACACAATAGTGACTATGTCATTGAGAAAAATACTTTAAAATATGGGTTGTAAGGTCCCTTGAAACACAATTAATAATCAGATACATCCATATGAAACTGCTGTTTGAATATTTCTTAAACAAAGCATGCAAATGTTACAGTTTTAGCTTTAAAAAGTTGCAAGCTGTTTAAAATTATTATGAAAATAATATACCAACCATCTCTGGCGCTACCCACCATGAAAGCAGAAAAGAATGGAGAAGACATTAAGAAAATATTAGAAGTGGCAAAAACGAAATTAACAGCAAAAAATACCACAGCTCGACATTCTTTGTCTAACACATCATGAAGCCATTCCACTATAGTGTTTCTCAAAGCTGAGGGCCTACAAAGATCTAAAGCTGTAGGCTTATCTTCAAAAATGTATAGAAAAATTTTCAATTTTGTGAAAATCTAAAAAGCATTGATAAGAAAGTACTCTTTATGATTCGTATAAACTTGAGAACAAATACTATCACATCGGTGCTGTATTTGTCCTTACAAAAGCATAGCAATGGATTCCATGTGGCAGAAATAAAGCGTTCCTGACAAATTACCGTGCACGATTTGGGTGAAAGTTTCACAGTATTTGGAATATAGCAGAGATGGGGACACTGAGACGAACAGAAGGTTTGATACTGGTGATTTCAGTTTCAGCTAAATAACATCATTCATCCTGTCATATCAAAGTTCTTAACTTGGATTTTATTTGGTGTTGTAATTTTTTTACTTAATTATGATTTTTGAATTAATATTTGTCTGAGAGCTTCAAGGATATGACTTTGATAAAAACTAGCATATAATAACTTCACCAAATTATGAAGAGAAAATGAAACAGGAGAACTTAGTGTTTATAAGAGCATGGATTAATCATGGCCCATTCTATAGAGCTCTTAAAACCAGCATCTTCAAACTTCCAGAGCAACTCAAAACTGGAAAATAAAAGGGAGAGAAAGAACAAAACCCAACTGAACTACATTCCTAAAAAGCTGGCGGCTGGGCTTCTGCTTTTCACCGAGAGCCCAGAGTCATGCGCTGCCTCCAATGCCTCTTTCAGGAGAGGCTGGCGTGAGCCTGACAAAGGCTTTCCTTCAGCCACCCATTCACAGTTTTGAAATTCATATTTGTTAAGACTGAGATAGAATCTTATAATTCCAGTGTAATGACCTTTTAATTCTTGGATTTCAAAATAACGAGCCATTAGAATCCGTGCAATTTTGCATAAGAACATGAACCATTTCATTGCCATTGCAAGTTGCACCATTAAGAACCAAACCAAACCTCATCCTTAGCATCTGCAGGAGTGTTTATAGGACTAAATGCATATTATTATTTTAAAGTAATTACTTTAAGTAAGTTTTCATAGTGATAATAACTCAAGGAAAGGATAATGTGGGTAGACAGGGTCACATATTAAAAAGAAAAATCCATGTGTGGGCCAATCTGTTGGAGGGTCTATAGAATCACATACTAAAGAGAGAACCCCAGGCCTGGGCCGATCTGCCGGGTAGTCACCTGCATTTCATCCAGTTTTGATTGAATGTCTGGAGGGAAGTCGCCTGCCGCACAGCTGAACGGGTCGAAGGGCTCTGCTCCGAACAGGTCTCGTTCTGGACAGAAGACAAGACGTGGTGTATGAACAACAGGCCGATCGCGCACAGAAACCCCACACGACAAGCGAGCCGCTCACCCTGTGCGCTGGGCTTTCCCAAGCTCAGGCTTGTTAAATACCAACCAGAAGCACGGACTCACTTTAGGACGCGTCTTTAACTAAGCCTTCCTAATATCAAATCCACCGAACACTTGATAATGAATGCACTACAATACCTACATGTTATTAAAATGAATGTGCTCCTCACCGAGACGTCCCCATTCCATTCACGGACCTGGTTGTGAAGCAACGCACAGGACTGACGAGGCCAGGAGGCAGTTTTACTCAGAGTTCACATATGAATCTCAGAAAAAAATTAAGGGATCTCATCTCATGTGGTGTGAAATCATGTCACCTTTCTAGAAAACCCTTGATCCCAGTATCATCCCAGCATCAAAAAGCTCCCTGTACATATATTTTAAAGTATACTTTTTCTTAATCACAAAGAAGTATCCAAGTTAAAATCGATGGCTGTGATTGACAAGGCTATGACCTATTATTTAGTTGAAAAAAATTTTTTAATGGTTAAGAAATTTCTTTACTCTGAATCAATTCAAATAAAACCCTAACAGCCTATAAAGGAATTTCAAGTTATCGATGGGCCTGGGAAGTTATAATGTCGTAAGACTTTCATTTTCAGGAAACTGTAACCACACTCTAAAGTCAAGGCTGTGTAAGAAATACTACCTAAGCTGCTTGTGTCCTGGGCATCGCTCCTTCCCTCCCATTATTCTTGCTTCTCCAGTTATAACTTTGGGCGTCAGATTCATATATGAAATAAGTTAATAAATGACAAATGCTTAGAAGTCCCTGGTTCTGGTAAGGGTTGTATAAACTTAAGAGGGACATATCCTTTATCACCCAAATAAAGACACTCTGAAGAGTGAAAGGTCTCCCACCAGTTATGAAGCAGCGGTAAAGGAAGGGTGTTGGACACGCATAATGACAAAAAACAGCCCATGACAGTATCAGGATATTGGCAGCCTTTTCTAAGAACACGATGATGTGTGTATTGGCACAAAATATATCCAGAGGAATTTGTGTATACATTTCAAATTAGGTAAAGTATTGAACACTCCCATCAACAGATTTTTAAAGTCCCTGATGTTATTCCTTCGCATTTACGTTCATCTTCTAAAGTCAATGACCGCCTCACATGGGAATAGACGTTACGTTTCACAAAGGGACGCACCAACCAGGGCCCTGCCGTGCTGTGAGCCTCACGCTAACACTTCAGGTCACACCGAAATGTGTTCCTGTGATGCCGAGAGGGTGCAGGAGAACAGACTGTGTAAATTCTCTTTCCTTCAGGTTCCCTTTGGACACGGTGCCTGATCACAGCCCGTGGGAACCATTCTTTCGGTTCTGTGACAGGGCGCAGATCACACATTCAAGATAATTAACAGCGAGCGTCTGCCAGCTGCTTTCCAATTCATCAAAAAGAGACTCTCACGTTCCTTCTAGATTCAGAAGGTGAATCAGAAAAGCCACGCCTTTCGAACGTTTCAGATGTCAAAGAAAGAACGCTTCTCTAGGAGTAATAAACGGATCATGGGATGCATGGATTTATGTATTTCTCCCACTAAGCTTAACCCAAAATTTACACTGAGCTCCATGAGACATGTCAAAATCATGAAAATTCCCAGCAGAGTTGTTTTTAATCATTAAGACATTAAAAATACAGCCCCAATATAACCCAATAAAAATATAAGTCAATGCTTTGTATTATGATGTAAATAACCCTACACCAAAATGTCATTTTCATACAATTTTACGTGTAAGTCATGTCTTTAGTAGTATACTCTGAACTATGAATGTGACACATGTATACTTTGTAAACATAATACTGTATCACATGGAAACATAACACTTTGGTAATTAAAAAATTTAATGAGCCCGGCCTGTGTGGCTCAGTGGCTGAGCTTTGACCTATGAACCAGGAGGTCAGGGTTTGATTCCCGGTCAGGGCACAGGCCCCAGTTGCGGGCTCGATCCCCAGTGTGGGGCGTGCAGGAGGCAGCCGATCCATGATTCTCTCTCTCTCATCACTGATGTTTCTATCTCTCCCTTCTTCTCTGAAATCAGCAACAAAAATGTTATAAAAAATGTTAATGAGCTTGTTAAGATATCTAATGTCACATAAAGTATTCGTCGGCCATCACAATGTACACAAGCGCAGCAGGCATAGTGACCTGTGTCGGAACTTACTGATCGCGGCAGCTCTGCCCGGCACTGGGGGCGGCTGCGTGCCGTTGGGCGTGGGCACGGCCGGCGGGTGGGAGGTGGGGGAAAAGGGAACCATGTCGAAGATGTCCGTGGAGGGCGACTGAGGCGACACGCTGCCGGCCTGCGGTGAGAGAAGGTGAGTGAGTTCATGTGGACACACTGCCATGCGAACGACTTCATAGACATGCAGAACGTATGGACAACAAATTCCGTGAACCAAAAACAATGACATATTGGCAATTCATATGGTCCAAACAGCTATGCTAAGTGCTCATGGGCAAGAGAGCAAGAGAAAATTTCTGCAAAAATGTCCTCAAAGATGAGGGCAAACCCAGTGACGATACTGTTCTAGGGAGATACGGAGCATGCGCTGGATTTTCTGTGCATCCAGAAATAACGGCCATTTGTATCAGAGACCTGACCACGCCAGAAACTACAGAAAACATGATTTCAGTAACAGATCGTGCATAAAATTATAAGTTTTAAACAAAAATAATTGAACATAAGTGATGTACCTTCTTAGATATAACCACAGAAATGCAATGATAACAAGTTTCACAGTTCTTAAGGGTGTGTTTTAATTTATATTTATAACCACAGTGACAGCCAACTCTTAGACACATTGCAGTGCCTTTTCTGCTGAGTAAGATTTCACCAAGTTTTTTATAATAAAACCCTACCTTGTGGTTTAAGTTAATAATCACCGAATACACCACCAAAATCATTGCTATCTGAGCCAGTCTGGGCCAGGGCATAATGACAGAATGAAATAATCATCACTTTGTCATTCAGGGGAAAATGCACACACGCATATGCCACACACGCACACACACGCACGCACACACGTGCGAGCACACACACACAATCCATAGAAAGGAAAGAGAGAAGTCCCACATTGGAGAGGGAGGTGAGGAAATGTTTCCTTTTCCTCTGAGAACGTAGACAGAGAATGCTTCGAGTAGTTCATATTAAAGGGACAGCTCGAAGAATGCATTTATTTTTCTGAGTCACAGACGGCGAAAACAATGGAGACTAATACGGCTGCTTATGTGTGGAGATGACAGGCCTGCCGTTAGCAGGATTGCAGGTGCATGTTTCCACCAGGAAAGTCGCTGTCAGTTCCCCCTTTACCGTCCGTTCCTTTAACATAAACACCGTCCAAACCCTCAGGCAGCCTCACCCCACACCGGCCTCCTCCGGAAGGCTGCTCTGCCAACCCCCGCCCTGGCGTCCGCCTCTCTCACCTTCCTCAGAGTATCAAGAACTCACATCTCAACTGCAGTCAAAACAGAACCAAAGGCGTCTCGCTCTGTCCCTCTTTTCCTCTCTCATCCTTTCTCTTCCCTTCCAGGCTCAGCTCCCTGAGGAAGGCACTACCTCTCCTGCCCCAACTTGTGCTCCATTCAACCCTCGACGCCTTTCAAGCTGGACTCTGCCGTTTAGGCATGAACTCGACCAAAACTGCTCCCGCCAACGTCACCGATGACCTCCTGTCCCACCTGCTGCATCGAAGGGTCCCTTGAGGTCCCCGTCCCCTCATCTTTCTGGGGGTTTGTGCACCACCCACACCCTCTGCCTGGAGCTCTCTGATGTCAGGCGACCAAAGGAGGCGAACACGGCAGACAAAGGCCCAGATCCCACTGTTCAAGACACACCCGCATTGCCACTGCCTCTCACAGCACGGCTGGCAGAACTAAAGAAAATAAGCGGGAAGTAAAGAGAAGTTTCCATGTAGAAAATTACATGCGGTCTCGGGGCGCGGCTCTCGCTGACGGGCCGGGGAAGGCCACACTTAGGAGGCGGCGGCGGTGTCATCCCCAGCGACAGCCTGGAGGCGGCCGCGTGCGCAGGGGTGGCGGGGATGGGAGGAAGGTTTACACAGGGGGGCGCGTCCTCACTCGAGCGCCAGAGCGGGGACGCACAGCTCTGAAGCCCGTGGGCAGACACTGTGAGCAGCAGCTGGAAGAAAGGACAGAGCGAGGCTCTCAGGAGAAGACGGGGGGACAAGGAGGAAAGTGCACAAGGAAACTTGTTTGGAAAATCACAGCGTGTGGGAAGGACAGGCGACTGGGGAAATGTTACTAATATTGAAAGGAATATCTGAGTGAGGAGTTTAGTAGAGCTGGTGTTCCTGTTGTGACCGTCCTTAAATCCTGGACCCACTGATTTGGCCTCGTCCCGGGGTGATGGCCTGGCTCCCAGTTATTTCGCTGCTGAGGTGAGTTCTGTGCCGGCACGGAGCTGGTCATTGCACAGAAGCTACTGGACACGAGTGAGCGCCCGCGTCTGAGATCCCTGCTCCTGGGCGCCTGTGGCTCTTTCTCCAGGAGGTGGGGGCTGGGACGTGCGTGGGGGACACGCGTGGGGGACACGCGTGGGGGGCGTGCTTGGGGGACACGTGTGGGGGACACGCGTGGGGGACGTGCTTGGGGGATGTGCTTGGGGACATGCGTGGGGGACGTGCGTGGGGGACACACTTGGGGGACGTGCTTGGGGGACGTGCTTGGGGGACATGCGTGGGGGACGTGCATGGGGGACACGCGTGGGGGACGTGCCTGGGGGACACGCGTGGGGGACATGCTTGGAGGATGTGCTTGGGGACATGCGTGGGGGACGTGCGTGGGGGACGTGCTTGGGGGACGTGCTTGGGGGACCATTTCAGCTTTGAGCTGTGCCTACATAAAAGGTGTGGAGGTTTGAGGCCCAGCAGTAAACGCTGAATGAAAGACTGAACATTTCTGTGGTGATGTCTATGGAAATATGAGCATGACACCAAAATTTTACTTTATGCTGTTATTTTGGTGCCATCAACCTTCCAAGACCCTTTTAAAAATGTAAAACAACTTTAAGGTTAAAACATGATTTATCAAAATTATTAAAATAGTAGAGGTTCAATATTCTACTTAGAATTAAATTTAAAAAGCAAATTATTTATATTTATTAATATGAAGGTCTAAATTAAAAATTTCTCATTAAAAATGGTTAAATAAGACTAAAGATGGGAAATATAATGGTAATGTAAAAAGGTTCCAGCAATACGTTCTATCCTGCCATGCTAATTCATGCTTTTAAAGTCCACTGTTAGGGCACATTTTCGATATCACTTTTTATTTATTTATATTTAATTTTTTAATTTTTAAAATATATTTTTATTGATTTCAGAGAAGAAGAGAGAGGGAGAGAGATAGAATCATCAATGATGAGAGAGAATCACTGATCAGCTGCCTCCTGCACGCACCACACTGGGGATGGAGCCCACAACTTGGGCCTGTGTCCTGCCCTGGAATCGAACTATGACCTCCTGGTCAACCACTGAGCCATGCTGGCCGGGTTACATCACTTTTTAAATAAGTAACAACTTCTAGAATTTAGAACTTACAGCATCATGGATGTATTTTTTCAGCTTTCCATTTGTTTATATTGGTTTCTTCGTTATAAGACCTATTATCATCTTATATGTTCTTACAAGAATTCTGCAAATCGCATGGCTACCATGTCCACTCTCTCAGAAAGGAAAACTGAAACGAGGAGAGATCGGTGACTGAATCAGGTGCTCATGGTCGGGACCGGAATGGAGTATTTTTTCTTCCCATGAGACAAGGGTTTACTTCTCCAGATCGTCGTTTGGAGACTTAACAGTCATGAAAGTGAAGCTGTGGACTGGTCAGCGTGTTCTGTGGGCACCAAGTGTTCCTGAGTCAACGCTCATGTTTAAAACGGATGCCTTTGTTTAAAGATTCCCAGGGGGCTCATTGTGTAACGGAGCGTTCGCTCCATCTGCCCTTGCCCATCTCCACTTCACTCGTCGCTGAGAAAACGCCAGAGGAAGATAAACTGTTTACTCGCAGCGAATCCACTTTTCACTTTTCAGGTCGCAATCGTCCTGCCCAGCTCAGTCAGGGGCCACGCAGCCGACCACGCAGCCGACCACGCAGCCGATCACGCGAAGGCAGGTTTACCGGTCTCACTGGGTCTCATGGAAGGAAGACATCATGTTCCTCAGCAACAGAACGCCCAGTGGGTCTCGGGACTACAACTCTGTTCACTTAACGTCCTGGCAAGAGCCTGATTTGGTTAAAAGCTCCTCGAGCCAGAAATGTACAATGTAAGCACCCAGACACGAGAATCAGGAGGAGGGATTTGATGTCACTTGCTGTGCCCACATCTCATAATGAAGCAACCCTCCGGAGGCGGCCGCGAGGCCAGGAGGGCAGAATAAACCCCCTTTCTGATATAAATACAGGCAGCACTGCCATGTGAATGCAATAAATGGAAATCAGATTGTTCCGAGATAATTAGTACCAAATGGTGGAAAACCAACCTCTGATCTGCTGCCAAACCACCAGAGCACAGCGCAGGGCAAACAGCACAGCCAAGGAACGGAAAGTTCTCGCTGTATCGAAACGCTGTCCTAAGAAGGACCCGACTTCCAAAAGCCCCGGGAAGCCGCCCACGGTGTCGGTGGACACAGAGGCGTGGACACAGCCTATCGAGGCGACTTCACTGGGCGGAAAAGGGACCAGGGACCACTGTCGTGTGTCCAGGAGACACGCCAGCGTGCTGGCTGTTTGGTACAAGCAAAGACACACGTGTGACTTTACACGCGAGAAAATGAAAAGCAGGAGTGGTCTTCATTCATCATGCACTTAAGGAACTGGCTTTAGGTGAAAGGGGTTTGGGATATTTATATCTATTAGAGATACACCTTTTTCGTCGTGAAAAATGTCTTTTCATTTTAATACTGAGAGCAAACAAAAGAAAAAGTCCCTTACTTGTCTTCTCTGGCGAGAACTAAACTACGCCTTCAGCGCTCCCGGAGCAGACTTATCCTGGGAGCATGAACTGAGACCACCGACAAGCGCTCCCCCGCTGACAGAGAAGAGCAAACTTTTTCATTCGGGATCACACCATAGGCTCGCCCCCCTCCTTGAGTTCCAGGTCTGTCTCTTCTGCAGCCACTGAACAGCTCCGCCCAGTAGGCAGAACTCACGTGAGCAAGAGTGAAATTCTGCTTCTTCCTGCCCCTCCCCCACGTCATGTCTACTTCAGAGGGTGGCACCCATACCCCAGGCTCAGGATGAAACCTTAAGGGACAATCCTGGCCGCTCTCTCACTCCACGGCGCCCACCAGCCATCAGGAAATCCTGCGAACTCCGCCTCCACACGCACCAGGAATCACGCTCTGCTGATGGGCTCAACTGACAGACGTCTAGGCCGACTGGCTTCCTCCCTGCCCGCTCCACGGCAGGAGCGGCCTGGCCAGTCTGGGACCTCACTTTGGCCTCTTGACATGCTTTTTTTCAATTGATTTTTAGAGAGAGAGAGGGAGGGAGAGGGAGAGAGAAATATCCATGATGAGAGAGAGTCATGGATCGGCTGCCTCCTACACACCCTACTAGGGATCGAGGTGCAACCCAGGCTGTGCTCTGACTGGGAATCAGACCTGGGACCTCTTGGTCCATAGGACAGTGCTCAACCACTGAGCCACACCGGCCGGGCCACTGTGGCCTCTTCATAGCCTGTGGTGCGGGCAGCACCCAGATGACGCCCTAACCCCGACTTCTCCGTCGGTGCAGTTAAACCACAACCACAACAACAACAACACTAAGAGCTTCGCCCTGGCCCACGGCCCTGTGAGGCCCGACTCGGACCTTCCGCGTCACTTCCACGCTGTTGGCTCTCCCTCCAGGCGCAGGCCTGTGCCTGTTCTCAGCCGCCTGCCCTGACTCATCCGCCGCCTCCATTCGCATGCCACCTGCGCAGTGTGGGCCGCCCCGACAACCATCTCTCTAAACGGCTCCCGCCCTTTCTCCTCCTTTCTGCTCCATGTCATTCAGAGCCTCTCTCAGTGTGGTGACTGCCCGGGGGACAGGAGGGGGAGGGGAGGTGGAGGAGAGCAGGGGGGGGTCAATGGTGATGGAAGGAGACTTGACTTGGGGGTGGGCACGCAAAACAGGGTACGGATGATGTGTTGCAGCGTCGTGCCCCTGAAACCTGTATGATTTTGTTCACCAGTGTCACCTCAATAAATTCACCAAAAAGAAAAATAAATAAAACGGGGGAGGTGAAAAAGCCATAAACTTGGTGAGAAGCACCTGGTAAAGGCAGTGAAGAGAAAGCCGTCGGAAGGAACAGCAGAACCAGCCGGGACCCAGGAGGACGCGCCAGCACGGTGTGTGCGTGACAAAGGTGCGAGGGCACAGGCCTCACTCCCGTCCGCTCACCTGGCCCCATCGCCCCACAGGCACTTGCCAAGCAGTGGGAATACCCCGGCTGCAGGGGACGATGGGGCAGGGGGTGCAGAGGGAAGCACGTGTTTTGACCCACTTCCAGAGCACAGCAAGTGTGAAACCCTAAATGTCTCCTCAGAGAAGCATTCTTCAGGGTGGTGAGCTGGGGGAGCATTCTAGCGCTAGATGGCAAACAGAGACCTATGAGCTAAAACGTGTTCCCTGGGCCAGCCTAGTGACTGAACCAAAATGAACTTGCACATAAAAATCTGCAACAAACATTCTTTTCAAAAGTTTGCAAATGCTATCATTGTGTCTCAGCTCATAGTATATGCCGTAAGTTACACATTAAATAATTTTAAAATGCAACATAAAGCCCAGCTGGTGTGGCTCAGTGGTTGAGTGTCAACTTATGAACCAGGAGGTCACGGTTCAATTCCCGGTCAGGGCACATGCCTGGGTTGCGGGCTCGATCCCCAGTGTGGGGCGTGCATGAGGCAACCGATCCATGATTCTCTCTCATCATTGATGTTTTTATTTTTCTCTCCCTCTCCCTTCTTCTCTGAAGTCAATAAAAATATATATTAACAAAAATACCAGATTAAGATATACACTATAATGGAGAAAATCATTAGTACACATGATTCAAAAATATCCTAAATATATTTTGCCTAGGAAAAAATATTGTTTGAACTTCCATCTCCCTCCAAAAATGTTACTTAGCCAAATCACAAAGTAATGGTATCTTTCTTGGTATTGGGAAGAGGATCTAACATTTCTGAGAAACCAGAGGGAAATAATTTAACCATAAACATTGAGCGTTGTCTGAAGAGACTACCCTTCATGTTAGTGTCTGAAATACGCTGTGTCGCTCCCGTGGGAACCAGGCTGTGCAACATAAGAAAGCAGACTTGGTCCTGGTGATAGTCCAGCTTCCAGGAGGAAGCTCAGTGCTCCAAGGGCAGGTTGGCTGAGGCCAGAGAGTCTAACCTCAGTACATAGTAACCAACAGGAATAGAATGAAGAATATGCCACAAAGAAAAAAATTGAGGGCTGAATTATTCTAGGAAAAAACAACAACAATAAGTGATAAGAGCAACATGGAAAAACAACTCCGATCTGAGCTAACGAGGAAATCTTAAATTTTTTAAAATTATTTTTTACTAGAGGTTTGGTGCATGAAATTCATGCAGGAGGGTGGGAGGGGGTTCCCAGCATGGCCTGTGCCCTCTCACAGTGTGGGAGCCCCGTGATCGATCGCCCCAAAGAGGTAGGCCGGAGCCGCTGGGACCTGCCCCCGCGCTGTGCATGCAGCGTTAAGTCCCCGCCCACCCGAGCACGCAACCTCCTGGTGATGGACTGTGAAGGCGTGAGGGCATCACGGCGTGATGGCGTGATGACCATTTGCATATTAGCTCTTTATTATATAGGATTGATTTCAGAGAGGGAGGGGGGGGGAGAGAAAGAAACATCAATGATGAGAGAGAATCATTGATCAGTTGCCTCCTGCACGCCTCTATTGGGGATCTAGCCTGCAAGCCGGGCATGTGCCCTGACCTGGAATCGAACCGCGACCTTGTGGTTCATAGGTCAGCGCTCAGTCACTGAGCTCCTCTGGCCGGGTGGACATCTTAATTTTTAATTAACCTTGGGGAGTAGCTGTCCTCTCTGTCCACGTGCAGCTTTAAATTACTGACTACAGAGTGTTACTAGGAACATCGCCGAGCTGCTGACCCAGAGACATCCTGTCACCAGGAAATCCTCTTCCCGGGAAAACATGCCCTGATTCTGTGTACTTACTGGGGATGCTGACACCTGCGTTACTCGCAACTGGTTTTCCAGATCTTGTACTTTGTTTTTAAGCTCCACGTTTTCTGCTTCCAAGTCTTGAATCTAAAAGGCAAATGACCATAGGACGGACCTTCAGAAAAGCATTCCTGGGAAATGTCGGCTCTGATAGTGACTGCGTTCGTGAGTGGGATTCCCTGTTACTTCAATTGCAACGTGCTGTCTGGTATTTTGGATGAAGCTTGGGGAGTACAGAGTGCTGGGTGCCCGGGCAGACCTATGGCCTTCAGAATGTTTTCACACGTGTGCACCAGGCATGTTCCTAATCCCTGGTCTGTGCTCCCTGGCGCGCGGTGCAGCCTCGCCCGTAACCTTGGGGAGTAACCGCAGGCCGGGGAGGCGCAGGCGGGGCGCTGAGGAGCGTGGAGAGGTGGCAGTTCACGGCGCGGCCCGGCCTGCGTGGGAAACCACTTACCCGGCCTGTGCTGCTGCGGCTGCTCTGATCCCCGTGAGAAGCATCAGGAGTGAAGCAGAGTCACATGAGACACTACGCTCTTGCGGGAATCCAACACGAAATGGTTAACGACCGCGCGCGCCGCGGGCGGGTGATGGTGGGAGGGACAGGGGGACAGTGTGGGGGATGGATGGCGGCCTGCTACGTCTGCCTGATGATATGCGAGTCTCCCCGTGTTGACGTCACATGCGACATGGCCTGCTCCGTTTACTCACTCTTTTCTGGAGCCCTGCGATCTGTTTTCTAGTTTCGACATCCTTGCCTCCAGATTCTAGGAATTTCCGGTATGCCAGGTTAAACGCTTGGCCGATGGTTAAAGTGATCTCTTCCGCCTTCATACAAATAAAACAAAGGAGATTTGCATTTAGTGGTCATGTGTCAGGTGCTCTGAGAACCAAGAAAAGCATTCACATCGGGTACTTGTGAAGGGCAGCAGCTGGGGGTAGAGGAGTGGAAATGAGCAGAGTTCTCGCTGCTGAGTAACGACTCAATGCCTCCCCATGCACGACGTAAAAACAATAATGTGCCCAGCGTGGCTCAGTGGTTGAGCGTCAACCTATGAGCCAGGAGGTCACGGTTTAAGTCCCAGTGAGGACACATGCCTGGGTTGCGGGCTGCATCCCCAGTGTGGGGCGTGCAGGAGGCAGCCAATCAATTATTCTCTCTCCTCATTGATGTTTCCATCTCTCTTTCCCTCTCCTTTCCTTTCTGAGATCAATAAAAATAGATTTAAGAAAATAAGACAGACAAACACACTTACTTATGATATTAACATGAAGTTGGGTAAAGTCATTAATTGAACGCTTCACAAACATCACACCAATGAAACCATATAGGCCCGGGAATTTCTCTTTTAATAAGTATTAAAGTATAAATTCAATTTCCTTTATACTTAGAGTTATAGGCTATCCAAATTAATACAATTAGAGCAAATAAAACCTTGAGGTAAAAATAATGTAATGAAACTTTGAGGAAACAGTCCTCGCTGAGCTCATTCATGGAAGTGATGCTAATGTGAGGTTGGAGAGGGAGCTGAGACCCTTGCTTTCCGAAGCCCAGACTCCATCCACCTGCAGCAGAATTACTTGGCGAACGGCTACCTGTAGATTCCCTGCGCTCCAGCCGATCAACATGAACTTGTTTTTTGAAGCGGAAACCGAAGAGCTCTGCTTTGAAAGGCCCCCTTCTGAGGGCTGAGCACCAGACGGTGTGAGCCATCGCTGCAGGCTCCACGTTTGCAGCCTTCAGAAAACACAATGCGCATGCTCTCTTCAGAGAGAATGATGCCTCCAGGAATCACAATTACGGAAGTCAGTGATGATCGGGTAGCAATAAAGTCAGGGATTCTGGCAAGCTTATGTTTAAACGATCACGTAAGCAATTTGATGGGGATCCAATGAAGAGAAGCACTTGACACAAAGCCCTAAGAAGGCTCATGTTCATAATGATCTCTTCTGTTAATATTTCAAAAGACCCCAAGGAAGTTTATGTCCATGCGCAGGACAAGCAAGACAGCCAAGTGCACTGCTCGGTGTAAGTGGTAAAAGGCTAGTCTATCTCACACATAGAAGATGTCTACTTTAGCCTTCTCGGTCACACAGATGGAACATCTGCAAGCAATCTTGGTTAAGCAGCACTTGGAGCATTAAACATAATGCATTCACTCAATAGGATACGTTTCAAAAACCACTGGAACTGCATAGAAAATTCCTTCTTGTGCACACAGCATTTCTCATGTGGGTAAGCATATCTCTTCTGACAAAATGTTCTATAATGTTCATCAAACTCTCAAAAGGTATTTTGATGCCAATTAGGTTAGCATATTAATTTGCCTTTTTAAAGAGCACTATAGTCTAAAAGATACAGATATTAGCATGTTCTACTGAAAGATGGCCTTTTTCTTTAAAGAAAAATTCATTGAGTATCTATTGTCCACCTGTTGTAGGACTTACGTGAACAAATAAAAAGGTGTTTGTTTTCAAAAAGCTCACATACGGAAAACAGAAATAACTGCGTGAGGGTGACAATAATACTAGTCCTCTGACATCCATGGCAGCCTGAACAATGAGCAAATGCATGAATTAAGTTCTTTTCCTGTCTCAGCCAAGAATGTTGCCGAGGTGAGATGTTCTTCCTTCGTTGAAGACATCAGTGGATGAGTGTCGACCCAGGCGCTCCGTTCTGATTCCCGGTCAGGGCACAGGCCCTGGCTGCAGGCCTGGTCCCCAGCAAGGGAGTGAGGGGGGTGCAGGAGGCAGCTGATCGAAGTTGATGATTCTCTCTCATCATTGATGTTTCTATCTCCCTCTCCCACGCCCTTTCTCTTTATCTAAAATCAATAAAAACATTCTGGAGAAAGAAAAAGCCATTGATGGCTGCAACGTGTCTTGGAATTCACATCGTCTGCTTTACAACAGGACCTCGGACTACAGACTATAGGTTATGATCAGCATTAGCTTATGCTTATAATCAAGACCCAGGGTTTTCCTTAAGATTCCAGGAGATTAAAGAATCGTTGCAGAACTTAACTTTAGAATTCCCTGACTGTCCTCACCTGCTGAGAACTCTAGATTACACTCACAAGTGAACACTCGCCCCCATGGACAGGCGCACACATGCGCTCACACCTTCCACGATTCTACTACCTTTCACTATGGTGAGCTTTCTGAGTAACGAAAATGAAGAACCGTGTTTTCAAAGTGTTGGCTACTTTTAAAGAAGTCGCACAGATGTTATTTCCTGGAGTTTAACATCTTCCTTTGCATCAGATCCATTAACATTCCAGAGAAGATGAACTCTGCCGACCATCACTCTGCATTATGTGCACATTCCTAAGTCATACCTGAGATTAAAATCACAAATAGGTGTTTTTCCCGAGGAGACCAAGATGGCGGCGTAGGTAAACACCGGAGACCGCTGCCGCAAACAACCATTTCAAAAATACAACTAAAAGACGGAACGGACATCACCCAGAACCACAGGAAGGCTGGCTGAAGAGAGACTCTACAACTAGAAGGAAAGAGAACAGCAAACCGAGGCTCAGAGGAGGCGCAGTGTGGAAAATACAAAGGTGCGCGCGAAAGCGGGCTGGTGGCTGAGGGCGCGGCTGTCATTTTCGGTCGGGAGTGAGTCTCAGACTCTGGGCTCCAGATCCGGGCGAGTCTCTAGGGACCCAGACTCAAACGGGAGAAGCGGGATTATCCGGCATAAGTTGGAATCTGAGGGCAGCTTTGTCTCCGAGGTTTGCAGCGGCTGCCGGGGTTCTGAGAAGCAGAGCCTCTGGGAACGGGACTGAGAGCGGTCATAACTGCTCCCTCCGCCCGCCCTGTTGATCCCGCCCCGCCCAAGCCCTGCGCACAGCCATTTGCCGACCGCCTCAGGCAAAGGCTGGATTAGCGCCTTTCCAGAAGACAGACGTTTTCCACACAGCTGATGCTCACAGCCAGTCGGCCTGGTGGTCAAATCCCTCAGTATTAACTAAAAAAATCAAGGCTTAACTAGAGCAAGACTGCGCACAAAGACCACAAGGGGGTGCACCAAGAAAGCATAAAAGATGCGGAGACAAAAAAACATGACAGAAATGGAGGATATGGAGCTAAGAATCGCAATTTTGAGGGCTTGCTATAAACTTGTGGAGAGCCTCACGAAAACTAATGAGACCCTCGATGCTACGATAAAGAAATTAGAAAGTAAGCATACACGGACTGAAATAAAGAATATTATACCCAATAGCAGACCAGAGGAGCACAAGAATCAAACCAAAGATTTGAAATGTGAAGAAGCAAAAAACACCCAACTGGAAAAGCAAAATGAAAAAAGAATCCGAAAGTGTGAAGATAGTGTAAGGAGCCTCTGGGACAGCTTCAAGCGCACTAATATCAGAATAATAGGGGTGCCAGAAGATGAGAGACAGCAAGATATTGAAAACCTATTTGAAGAAATAATGGCAGAAAACTTCCCCCACCTGGTGAAAGAAATGGACTTACAGGTCCAAGAAGCGAAGAGAACCCCAAACAAAAGGAATCCAAAGAGGACCACACCAAGACACATCATAATTAAAATGCCAAGAGCAAAAGACAAAGAGAGAATCTTAAAAGCAGCAAGAGAAAGAGACTCAATTACCTACAAGGGAATACCCATACGACTGTCAGCTGATTTCTCAACAGAAACTTTGCAGGCCAGAAGGGAATGGCAAGAAATATTCAAAGTACTGAATACCAAGAACCTACAACCAAGATTACTTTATCCAGCAAAGCTATCATTCAGAATTGAAGGTCAGATAAAGAGCTTCACAGATAAGGAAAAGCTAAAGGACTTCATCACCACTAAACCAGTATTATACGAAATGCTGAAAGGTTTCCTTTAAGAAGAGGAAGAAGAAAAAGGTAAAGATACAAATTGTGAACAACAAACATGCATCTATCAACAAGTGAATCTAAGAATCAAGTGAATAAATAATCTGATGTACAGAATGAACTGGTGATTACAATGAATCAGGGACATAGAAGGGGAATGGACTGACTATTCTTGGGGGGGGGGAAAGGGGAATGGGAGATGCGGGAAGAGAATGGACAAAAATCGTGCACCTATGGATGAGGACAGTGGGTGGGGAGTGACGGCGGAGGGTGGGGCGGGAACTGGGAGAAGGGGAGTTATGGGAAAAAAAGAGGAACAAATGTAATCAGAACAATAAAGATTTAATTTAAAAAAAAAATCACAAATAGGTGATATGATTCTAAGATAAATAAGTGCACAGCATGAGCAGGGCTGGCGCCCTAAGAGATGCAGTTTGCATGCGAGCCTGCATGCCTGACACGGGAATTCAGTTACGGATGGGATCCCGCAGGCCGGCCGGGGGCAGGACGGGCCCACTAGCGAGTTTAAGTAATTACAGGCCTCGCTCATGTCCCAAGACCTGACTAACGCTGGAAGCAAGACATCCCTGGACCGTAACACG